TCTCACCCAAACAGCAGGGGGTGATGGTGGACACGGGGTATATGTACCAGTACAGCCGCCAGTGTTAGATGGCTGGATGTTGTTTGTTTGCAGCTAAACTTTCCCGCCAAATTTTCTCGCTAAACTTCCTACCAAATTTCCACTCTAAACTTTCCCGCCAAGCCTTTCCCACCAAAACAACGCTGGTGTTGGTGTTGTGAATACTTCTTTCATCTCAGTGCTGGCAAGATATGTACGCCAAAATCACTAGTGTTAGAAACCTGTTTATGTTATTTGTAACTCTTTATCTAATATATAATGCTTTGTAAGTACGAGTAAATGTTGTATTTTATCATTCATAGCAGCAGGAAGGGGGTACACCACAACTCCCGCTGGCGCGACAGTCTCGGTGTTACCTCTCAGGTCACGTGTCGCGCACCACCAAACAAACTAGCCAGGCTAGGCGTAGGGTGCAGCGAGGGCTCCATCCAGGTTCAACAAGAGCAGTTTCATTTTCTTTTCTTTAAAACTGATCTCAGACGGATGGTTTACACACTAATAGTTAAAACAAGCAGCGCACACACTAACACAAATTAGGCAGGGAGTTAAAACCTAAACGCGACAAAGAGAGGACTCAGAACACGACTAACATAAATGTCTACTAAGCAAGCAGTAAAAGTATGAGAAACAAAATGGATGATATTAGGGCCTTAGTATGTACCGAAAAAATCAATATACAGTAATAGCATTCACCGAGACATGGATAAACCTAGACTCACGTGAGTTACCTGTCGAATACCAAATTGCAGGTTACAAATTATTCCATACCGATAGGCAGATTAGGAAAGGAGGCGGAGTAGCAATCTATGTCAGGAATAATGTGAAGTGTGAAATAAATAAGGAAATCAAAACTGAGTGGAATACAGAAACAATTTGGATAGAATTAATCGATGGTAGGGAAAAATTAATCACAGGAGTAATATATAGACCTCCTAATCTTGATAGAGTTAATGAGCGACTTATTTGGGACGAAATGCGCAGGACTTCCATACATAGCAAAGTCTGTATAGTAGGCGACTTTAACTTTAGCCAAATAGATTGGACTGATCTTACCGGTAACTCAGAATCAGAGGATTTTCTTGAAACGATCCAGGACTGTTTCCTAAGTCAACAAATACCCGAACTCCCCCCAGGGTAATAATATACTCGATTTAGTACTGTCAAACAGAGAAAACCTCATTAGTAATGTCGAGGTTGGGAACGAACTTGCAAACAGCGATCACAAAGAAATTAGATTCCAGTTAGAATTTCAGGACCGCTGTAAGGAAAATTCCACCAAAGTCCCAGATTTCAGAAGGGCAAACTTTGATAGTTTGAAGAGGCAGTTGAGAGAGGGGGTATCACGCTTGGGGGCGAACTACATGACCTCACATGAGGTGACCTCACTCAATGTACCCACAGAGGGCGACCTCACCCTACCCAGAGACCTGACGGTTGAGATTGACCTGATAACGAGATCTGAGGTTGCCGAGTTCCAAGAAAATTTAAATAATGGGTTACTTAATGCACAAAGGCAGAACATACCATACAAAAAACTCAGATCAAACAACAATGACCCAAAATGGATAAATAATTATTTAAAGAACATTATTGGACAAAGGAAGGCTATAGGTAGGAGAATAAATCGTGGTAAGGTTTACCTCCGAGATTACTATTAGGTATTGGCCAGTAGGGTTAAGACCGAGATAAGAAAAGCCAAGAGGAATAATGAGCTGAAGATAGCAAGGGAAGCGAAGTCAAACCCCAAGGGATTCTATCAAATGTATCAAACTAAAACACGAGAAAAGATTGGACCAATACAGTCAGATACCGGCGAGCTAACTGATAACGACGGAGAAATGAGCAATAATCTGAATAAATATTTTTCAACAGTTTTCACCACCGAAAATTTAAACATGTTTCCTGAAGCTCCGACTGGAAAAAGTTACCAAATATCATCATTAACTGGAATACGCTGGAAAGCTTCAAACTTAGGTTGGATGGATATATGAGCAATAGGGGCTAGGTGTAAATGGGACTGCCCAGTATGGGCCAATAGGCCCGCTGTAGTTTCCTCCCTTCTTATGTTCTTATGTTCTTTCGTTGATTTGGAAATTATGTGTTTTTACTGTAAAATTTTCATAGTTCGTGTGAAGGGACTCTGCTTCACAAAGTTAAAATACTATCTTGCGATTAAAATTACGAGAATAAATTTTTCATGCCTTACGGGTATTGCTGCTTTCGTCATGGTTATTGATATTTAATTAGTTACTCTCGCCACAGAGGGGCACTTAGCGTCACACAAGAACCACTGCCCTCATCTTCACAACAATGTATACAGATCTTCTCAGGCATCAGCGAGCCTCCACTGCCTGGCTACATCCTGTCAGTCACAACCTGAACAATTTCATTCCCAGGGAGGGGAGGTCGTGTCCGTTAGTCCTAATCCCTTATATTGCGTTATTTTTATTATTTAATCTGTTGTTTTACTGTTATATTCCTCTTTCACATAATTCCTCTCTCCTCGGCTGTAGGTAAAATATATGGTGTGTGATTGTGTCCGTATAAGCCACCTGTGGTTTAATGATCAGCATCCTAGCCTAGCAAGTGAGCGGACCCCGGTTCGATCCCCGGGCAGGGTGAAACTATGGGCAAGTTTCTTTACGCCATTTGCCTCTGTCTACCCAACAGTAATTGGGGACCTGGATGTTAATCGCCTTGCAGATCGTATTCCGGGGTAATGGTTAGCCACTGGAATTGTCCGGTCTTCTCGGACATGCAGCTCGTTAACTCAGGGTGTGGTTGTTGTGTTGGTGACAGCTTCTACACCTTTAACAAATTCACGCCTAGGTGGCCCTTGGGCCGGCCATCCTCGTACACGAGGGGCAACCATTATTATTATAAGATCAGTATCTCAGCTCTACCTCAATACTGCCTCCGTGTTGTGTCACCCCGAGTCACCATTGCGTGTTTATATTTGTCTAGGGATTAGGTTTTCCTGGATCACCTTAGATATATTGTAGTGTGTGTGTGTGTGTGTGTGTGTGTGTGTGTGTGTGTGTGTGTGTGCGTGTGTGTAGAGGGGTAGTGGTGACTCCGTTTATCATCTGTGTTTGGATTTGATTTTAGACGCCACTTAGTTCGTGTAAACCAACACTGGCCGGTACTGAGCCACATCCTCTGCCTCAACAAGATAAGATATACAGTGGCTCCAACTCGCCTCTACACTCACTCTCGCCACTAAAACTTTAAACTCTCTTACATCCTCTTCCACTCCGCTCCCTCCCTCCCACCGCGAATACCCGTCTCTTATCCTCTTATCGCCCTCCTCATTCTTTACGTCCAGGTTCTGACGGAGGTCTTCACGATCAGCGATTCTAGTAAACATGTGTTTTTCTTGCATCAATCTGCCCTACGATCATCACTCACACACTCATTAATCCATACTCAATATCTACCCAGGATCAACAACTCTGCAGCCCCCACAACACCACAGACTCAGAATCTGCATCGCTAACACCAACAAACACGACGGCTTTCAGGATTACTTCATCATGCAGCTGAAACAACACAAATTAAAATTGCCCCGTGACCGGCGCTCCTTAATTAACTTTACACTCAGGTATTTGGCCCAGACTAGCTCGAGCTTTAATGAATTTTGGGAATAACCATCACGAGTGTTTACATTACACCGCCCTTGTGCTGACTGCTTAACCTAGCTGGTACCAGATTGGGAACGCTACTCATCCTCCTCTCTCTCGCCCCCTTCTCTTCTGTTTTGCTCAGGATTTTTCTCCCCCTCCCTCTGTGTTATCTTCTTCGACTATTATTCCGTTTCCCTTCCCCCTTTACAAATTCCTGTCTTCTTTACCTTTACTCTTTTCCTCCCCCTCTTTCTACCCCAGACCAATTCTTTCTACTCTCCCTCTCTTTCCTAGTGCACTCCACCTCCCCAACCCTGTTTTCAGTCTCCTGTATTCTACTCCTACCCTCTCTCCCTTCCCGAAAGCTACTCTCCCGTCCATGCTGACTCACACAGCTACTGTAGGCCAGGGTCAGGAGGGAATGTCAAGCGATGTCTCCAACAACTGCAGCAATTTCCACAAGTTTATGCCATTGTCGCCCGGAACAGTGGACGGCTCTCTGGCTATAAGTGTGTTCTGCCCAGACACAAGGCCGAGAATACGAGGGTACGTCGAAAAGTTCACAGCCTGACCTAGATAATGTCGAGGTAGGAGGTGCTTTTGGTTCTTATAAGATGTTGTTAATGATATGTATACTAATTAAGTTTTCTTCAGAATAACCCAACTACAAAAGAAGAAATCAGTAGTAAATTGCTATGAGATCACACACTTCTCTGAGACAGTCCCGCGCTGCACAGGTCACGGGGGCCACAACAAATGAAGACCTCGTACAACAACCACCTCTACGGTACTCACCACACGTGACTACAGGATGTTAGGTGTTTGATAATACGATAATATTTGTTCTCATATGATAGTTCACAATTCTTGCTCACATACTCACTCATACCCACACACTCACTCATACCCACACACTCACTCATACCCACACACTCACTCATACTCACACACTCATCCATACACATACTTAACCACAAATAAGAATGTACAAAGACTCTGTAATTCACACATTCAAAACCACACCTTAATGAGGACATACATACATACATACATACATACATACATACATACATATATGCTGAAGCAGACACAAAACGTACACTGAAATCCACACATCGATTCTCCTACACACGTGCATGTGTGTGTGCGTGCGTGTAGCATGTATGAAAGCCAAAAGACCCGCTCCCCCACACACCCATACACCCACAACACATACACTATACACACACACACACATAGAAGAGGTAGGGAGGGGGGCGGTGGCTAGCAAGGGTAGGTGGGGGCAGCTCCTTGTGTGGGTTGTGAGTCGCACCTCGAGTCAGTTGGTGTTGAGTCGCGGTTGAGTGAGGACTGTGTGTGTGTGGTGGTGACCGACCCCCCCCCGCCCCCTAGTGTCGTGTGTTCCTACAGTTTTTATACACATAAGTGATTCATATTAACTCTTGTTTGGATTTTACTTAATATCAACCGAATATATGTAAGTCTTTGTAATATTTTTATACTTTTTGGCACCAGGTAGAAGTTAGTGATAAAAAGTTTTATTACTTGATATTCAGGTTACTTTTTTTTTTTTAGTAAACAAACATTAAAAAAGTTATATCATCAGATTGTTATGATGCATTACGTCTCTCTCGGTATTAAAACTTCATATTGTTTGTAAGAATCAAAGTGTTTTAAGTGTTATGCATTGTTAATAAATTAGTAATGTGTATATGGTTTATTAGCTAATGATGTTGATTATACATATTTTTAGGACATACAGGTACAAATGAAAGAATTTGTATTATTATGTTAGAGCAAGTATGTATGTATGAATATCTTTTTTTTTATTACAACTTATTAATTAGTATGTGGTGTTCATTACTCTATTGATATTAGTGTTTTTTTTATATATTTTTTGGTGTTTGTTAATTAAGAAACACAAGTGATAAGCTTATGTGAATGTACGTGAGTTAAGTCACAAACTCGAGTTGGTCTCAGGGAATATCTGTACCCAAGAGGGAGTGTTTCGCGAGAGCTGACGATAATAAGGCTAATTTGCATATGTAAACAGCTAACCAGGTTAAGTGAGATAATCTGTGAAATGTTGAGTAGCTGACCCGTGTGTCAAGCTGATATTGATGACATGGTTGGAGGTGTTGCCAGGTTACATAGTTGGAGGTGTTGCCAGGTGACATAGTTGGAGGTGTTGCCAGGTGACATAGTTGGAGATGTTGCCAGGTGACATAGTTGGAGGTGTTGCCAGGTGACATAGTTGGAGGTGTTGCCAGGTGACATAGTTGGAGGTGTTGCCAGGTGACATAGTTGGAGGTGTTGCCAGGTGACATAGTTGGAGGTGTTGCCAGGTGACATAGTTGGAGGTGTTGCCAGGTGACATAGTTGCCATATAGCACCAATAAACCCGCTAATATATTCAACCTTCATGACCACAAGTACAGATATAAAACACTCTTGTCCGTGAAGAATATTAAGACAAACTTTACCTTCATATATATTAAACAACATCATTTTATTAATTATATATTGTAACCTTAACTAACTTAACTTAATTTAAACATACAAAAACCACTGGGGAGGCACAAGTAATTTTGAGTAAGTGTTTAATTCACGTAAATATTCCTGGCTTGTAAATATTAAACGCGCAAATCCCCTTTTAAAATAGAGATTGTATGAATATTTACAGCACAGTACCAGGAAGCCAATGTGTGTGTGTGTGTGTGGGGATGACTTGTATCTAACACTAACCGCCCAGAGTCTCAGAATGTTGATATTTGAACAGGTGTTACCATGTGATATAAACTAAGTAAGCTAACCTAACCTGACCTGACCTGACCTAACCTAACCTAATCTAACCTAACCTAACATAATCTAACCTAACCTATCCTAACCTAAATTAACATATACAAAATATGTAAATAATGTCACTTAAAGGCTGCCATCATCCAGGTAGAAGTAGATTTAACGTGTAATTTACTGTAGATTCGGGAGGTAGACGATGGACGTGTGTTAAGTGCAGCGGGGACTGGACAGTACTGGAGCAGTGATAAATGTGGAGTCGATATCCAGTAGAATATATTTTACACTAGAGAGAGTCAGTCCAGCCCAGAGTGTTGACAAGAGCCAGTCCAGTGCTAGTGTTGACAAGAGCCAGTCCAGTGCTAGTGTTGACAAGAGCCAGCCCAGTGCTAGTGTTGACAAGAGCTTGTCCAGTGCTAGTGTTGACAAGAGCCAGTCCAGATGCTAGTGTTAACAAGAGCCAGCCCAGTGCTAGTGTTGACAAGAGCCAGTCCAGTGCTAGTGTTGACAAGAGCCAGTCCAGTGCTAGTGTTGACAAGAACCAGTCCAGTGCCAAAGTGCACCAGTCCAGTGCTAGTGCTTGACAAGAGCCAGTCCAGTGCTAGTGTTGAAAGAGCCAGCCCAGTGCTAGTGTTGAAGAGCCAGCACAGTGCTAGTGTTAAGAAGAGCCAGCCCAGTGCTAGTGTCGGCAAGAGCCAATCCAGTGCTAGTGTTAACAAGAGCCAGCCCAGTGCTAGTGTTAACAAGAGACAGTCCAGTGCTAGTGTTAAGAAGAGCCAGCCCAGTGCTAGTGTTGGCAAGAGACAGTCCAGTGCTAGTGCTAACAAGAGCCAGTCCAGTGCTAGTGTTGACAAGAGCCAGCACAGTGCTAGTGTTAAGAAGAGCCAGCACAGTGCTAGTGTTAAGAAGAGCCAGTCCAGTGTTAGTGTTAACAAGAGCCAGTCCATTGCTAGTGCTAACAAGAGCCAGTCCAGTGCTAGTGCTAACAAGAGCCAGTCCAGTGCTAGTGTTAAGAAGAGCCAGTCCAGTGCTAGTGCTAACAAGAGCCAGTCCAGTGCTAGCGTTGAAAAGAGCCAGCACAGTGCTAGTGTTAAGAAGAGCCAGTCCAGTGTTAGTGTTAACAAGAGATGCTTTGCTTTCACATTTCTTGTATAAATGTACAGTCAGGGAGGCACCGAGAAGTGACAAGTGAGCCTACATCAACAGTCTGTACAGTGACTACAGACTGGCCAGGTTGATGACGCCGCTTCACCGTGACGAAGGACCTGTTGTTTAATCAGACTTTCTAATTCGTATGCAGTTATTTCATCCCAGTTAACAGTTTATCAAGGTAATATCCCTCTCAAATGTATATTAAAAACAGTTAGTAATAAAAAAAACAAGTTTATCTGTCAAGCGATTAATGATTGGAGAGTAACTAGTGATGAAAAACAGGAGTGTGTTTGTATTCATGAATTATGTATGCCGCCCAACTGTTCACCGGCCCAAAACCATAACACTATTGCCTTCGGTAACAAAACACGATATTTTTTTGCTTGTTTTTATTATTCACCACGTCACTGTTTCTCAAAGTGTACATACATCATCGTGTATCGTGTTGGCTAACTTGTGTAGTGAGAGTGTGTACCTCCCCTCTCTCGCCTGACCCAGCCTCTCACAAGTGCCCCGCCAATAAAAATATTTCCCGCCGCACCAAAAAACAATTCACAATACCACTTCTGCTTCACCTCTGCTCGTACATCGCGCACCAGTGTGATAACTTAGCTCACCTTCCCTGACGGTATTGGCAGGTTTTAGGGGAAAGAATATGTGTCGTGGGCCGAGTTTAAGAGGCGTGAGGATAAGGTAGAACAAGACGGTGTTAAAGAGTGTGAACTATGAGACTCCACCTCTGTTACCTTACCTGGATATTAACACTGACGCACCTTAACATTATTAATTAGTGATGCTGCCGGACTGGTCACCTTAAACAGTTTACCGGATAGTTAGTGAGATGAATTACTGATGATGTTAAATCTGCCTGATCGTTACGGTGGTGATATGGATAAATACTCGGTACTCAGACACAGAGGTACAACTTATACTGTACCGTTAGTAGCCTTGTACTGCACTGTTACAAGCCTTATACTGTACCGTTAGTAGCCTTATACTGTAACGTTAGTAGCCTTGTACTGCACTGTTACAAGCCTTATACTGTACCGTTAGTAGCCTTATACTGTAACGTTAGTAGCCTTGTACTGTACCGTTAGTCGCTTTATGATGTTATATTTAGTTATAAAAATGAAAGTTAACTGTGATTTAAGGAAGAAATTTAACATTGAGTTTAGAAAAAAATTAACATTGAGTCGAGAACAAAAATACAAAAGCACATCGATAACAGAAAAAAATGGAGGAGACTCAGCGGGTTAAGCTTTCATTACCTCCGTCTGGTCAACATTCTTATTCACAACATTCGTCAACATCATTCACTTATTTTATAATGATTTATGAATGTTGAGCCACATACTTAGATATCTTTGTTCATACATTTGCGTGTGTATATAATTGTACATGTGATATGCATGTATGTATGTATGTATGTATGTATAACGCCCAAGGAATATACAATACACATACATTTCTTAGAGGGATTTTCTAAAGATTATACCTTCACTGAAAATACCTGCAGACTTGACTTTAAATTTGGCTAATTACTGCGTGTAATATCGCGTCTAGCCGGGAGGAGAGGCGCGGCAGCATACTAGAGCGGGATGAATGAGTCACAACCGCTCCTGGGAGAGACTAGCTGGGGAGCGGCAGGTACGGTATAAACTTTATGACGTCTGCTATGTGCTTGCTGTATGTGTGTGTGCCTGCTGTGCGTTTGCTGTGTGTTTGCTTGCTGTGTGCCTGTTGAGTGTTTGTTGCGTGATTGCTGTGTGTCTGTTGTCTGCCGGCTGTGTGTCTGCTGTGTGTCTGCTGTGCGTCTGCTGTGTGCTTTTTGTGCCACTGCTTATGTGCCTTCTGTGAGTGTGAGGTCTTAAGTTTACGATGTCTGTTGTTTGTGTGGACTAATTTGATGAAGACTGCTGTACGGTTACTGTGTGTGGGAAGACTAACTTTATGACGTCTGCTGTTTAGTTGTTGCGGTGAATGGGAGAACATGAGAGGGAAATGAACTGAATATTAATGTTTAGGGTTTAGAATTTAATAATAATAATAATAATAATAATAATAATAATAATAATAATAATAATAACAATAATAATAATAACAATATTATTATTATTATTATTATTATTACTATTATTTTATTGTTGGGGATAACAAGAACAGGTGGAGCGAGGAAAGGTACGTTGTTAGTTGACCTCGTAAGACTATAGTGAGGAAAGGTACGTTGTTAGTTGACCTCGTAAGACTACAGTGAGGAAAGGTACGTTGTTAATTGATCTCGTAAGACCATAGTGAAGAAAGTTAACTGAATCTTAACATGGTACAAGATATCAAAGACTGAAATTTACTGAATAACGCTTCAAAGTATGCAATCCATACAGAGTAATTTTTACGAGTTTTGAATATCATAAAAGAGGTGCGTTAACCTTAAAGTGTGCATAAACGCACTTAAATGGTACTTATGGCTTCAAGAGACTATTACCTTCTCGTGTTCCTGTTATTATAGTGTGTAAGTGAGTGTAACTTGTAATCTATCGAGCATGAGCTATGTGGAGTGTGCCAGTTGTCCCCAGAAGAAAGAGATATGTGTTGTGTTTTGGTTAATTCACTACTTTATATAGATTCAATAGTGTTATGGATTCTGAAGGCTGGTAGAGGGTATAAGTCCGTCTCTGAGGAGTTGACTCACTACTCTCACGCCATTCTTCCATTGTTTTTGTTGGTGTTTGAGGTGCTGGCTGGTTAGCAGAGAACAGCCGAAAGAAACAAATGTCATGTTTACGTTAAGTTTTCATCCAGGAGGGAATAATTTTGTCGGGAAGTTTTCAAGATAAGAATATTATGACATTTCAAGTATTCAATATTGTCCCTCAAGTAACACTGATATTTTCTTTATTTTTCTAGAGATAGCGAATTATGAAGTCATTCAGTAACATTCGTATCTGCTGTACATTTGCGAGTATCACCGTTTATTCTTAAGCGATGGAGGACTGATAACGATGTCTTTAATTACTACAAAAATACCCAACTTTGCGCCATTTCTTCAGTGGTGGAATATTTTAATTTAACTGTTTTCAATTAACAATTATTGTCTTTCAGCATGGAGGTAATGACTTTTTTAATCACTTCATAAATATAAAGTACTACGAATTTATTATGACTATATTTGATGTGGGAAGAACGTTTTACGATGCATGGTGTGTGTGTGTGTGTGTGTGTGTGTGTGTGTGTGTGTGTGTGTGTGTGTTCTATAAGGGAGTGTTCAATAAGTAATGCGACTGATGGTATAGAAGGAAAATGTGGCTTTATATTTACTGTACATTCCTTCACCCCCCCCATTACTTGACCCGGTCTTGAAACACTGGTAGACCCTCGCTCTGATAATGCCTTGATCATCTCAAAGAACTATTTTGGCTTCAAGAAATAGGAAAACGTCACAGAAAGCAAATCATGTGAGAATGGTATGTTTTTATCTCGTCAATGTTTCTTATTTGGTTGATAGGATTAGTCTGTAGAGGCACGTTGACTAAATGTAGCATCCATCCATCCATCGTTAGTGAATTATGGGTGTTTTTATGTAGTTTTCACCTCATTTAATATTTCAGCACTTGAGAATAGTAATTTTCGGTAACAGTCTTTCTGCTTGGTACACAATGGTCATGATTCTTTGAAAGATGAGAGGCATCCTCTTTTCACCTTCTGTGGAATTTTTTTTTATCATCTAAAACGTGAGCTCCCAGTGTATAGCCTATAAAAACTTAAGAGATTTGTTTCTTGGTGGTAGAGGTGATGTTACGACTCGTCATTGGTCACCACACGAATCAGATAGAGTAGTTCCCAGGAAGTTGCTGTTTCTATTGTTGACAAAGACACACAAGGTTCCTTTATGTTCATCCAATAATATTTGTAGAACCCAACGAGCTACAACGAGTTATAAGCCTTCAGTTGTCATGAGTTGTAGCATGAGCCGGTCTCCCGACGATCCTTAAGCCTTCAGCGATGTTTCAGACTGTTTGATGACAATCCTCAAGTATTTTCATTTCAGTCTGAGCTGTAATCTCGGCGATGTTTGAAGTCTTTTATCTCTTCTCTCATCTTCAAATTCTTCGTAACCGGAAGAAAATAATTTGTACCCCGCCAAAAAAAACTCTGACTCGAGACATTGGTTTAACTTGAACTTGGATCATAGAGAGAATTTCTGTTGTAGTTTATTGGGACACCAGAAACATTTGACAGCCGTATTGTGTTACATTCGCAAGTCCATGATGGGGGAAGCAATACCACTTTCATAAATGCTTACCGTGCTCATGTGAACAAGTGAACGAGGCGCGTAACTCAGAGATGTAAGCTAAGGCAGATTCTCAATTGTCTTCTCCAGCTTATTTTTATTTAATTTTTTCTATGGGGAGTCTTCCTAGTTATTGAACATTCCTCCTATATGACTGCACACACACACACACACACACACACACACACACACTACATCCTTGACCACCGTCGGGTCGAGACCTATTCAGGCGCTGCTTCTGCTGAGCAGCTGTCCCCCTTGGCCAATGTTCGGCCCATTCCCCAAGTCCCTCTCCCCGACCCATCCTCATCACCGAGATATCAACATAATCAAAAGTGACAATTTCATTTCGGAAAGAAGTGGGACCAGTGTTGAACAGTGTTTAAGTCAGTGAATTCAGCACTAGACGGTACCAGTGAAAGCCGCGACCCACCAGTGAGATAAGCACCCCTGGGAACTAACCGCCATCTTCTGACCAGGAGGTGCTAATCAGTCCACCGTGGGAACAACAGTGGGTCGGCTTCACACCTGACTACGAGATAACACAACACCATCCAGCAGGGCGAGGTACTGTAACACCACCCCACACCACCCGGTGTCCCCATGACCATATGATGTCCTTCATATCAACACCCGAGGACGAGTTACTGCATCACATGAACACCTCACCACCTGGTGTCTCCATGACCAGCCCAGCCCCGGGCCATCAAGTGTA